TCACTCTTTTTCATCATATTTGTATCAGTTATTACACGTAAATCATAAGAATTATCCTCCTTGTCCAAATAGGTTGGTGTTTTCACATCTTGATTAACATGGATAATGTATTGCTCCATTGGAACCCTAGTATCACTCATGTTTTGTAGGGTTTTGAGAACATGCTTGTAAGCCATAAAATATGCTCGTGACTCTACCATTGTAAAGTTTCCAGACAAATCAAGATCTTGAATGTCACTCTCAAACTTGACTCCAATAATTCCTTCTTTACCCATATCTACATCCCTTTCTGCAACTGATGCAAGAATCATACTCCTGAAATTGTCCTTTGAGAAACAAAGAAAATTTCCATACAAAAGTCTCTTTGAATTCACAAACTGAAAATGTTTGGGCAAGTTCAATTGAATATAATGGATTATGCATCTTCTTCTGATATCAGACCCTACAATGGATACATTTCTATAAATTCTCACTTCTCTTATATTCTTCATATTATATATGAAATCATTAATTCCATTTCTTAATGGTCTGACAAAATCCTCACGCAAAAGACGGAACTGAACATCTAAGTAATGTTTGCTATCTTTATACTTCCCTTCAACTATGTTCCTGCGGAGAAAGGGGCGCTGCTGTTTTGAGAGATCATAGGGAACTGGATGGACAGGTAAGTCTCTGAAGTCATCTGGTGGTTCCATCTCATCCATCGCATACCTTCCCCTTTGTCCTTTCCATGTTTGGGATTTCTCACGGATCCACTTTTCTCTGGCTTCAGTTAACATTTTTTGCAATTCTTCATACTTTTCCTTCACTTCAGCTGCCACAAATCCTTGGTCTTGTAAAATACCCAATGCTGATATACAGGCATCAATCAAGTCAGTAATTTTATCAATAGCATTTGTAGTCATTGCATTGGCATAGGTTTCAAGAAATATGTGTAGATTTAGAAAAAAATTACTTGCTTCATTTGGATATTGCCTTTTAATGGTCATTGAAAAGGCACACAATCTATCCAAAAATTTCTGCTCACAAGTTATACTGAACAAGTCAAACAAATTTTCCTTATTGGATTTAGCTGAACACGCCCTTGCAAGGACCCTTATCAATAATATTAGGCTCTCACTGCGTACTTCATCTTGCTGAAGATATAGCTGGTAACCTGACTGTTCTCGGAGGAGTTCTAATACAACAAGATCAGGTTGCTGGTCCAACAACTGCTCAAGTTGTTTGCGACCTATTGGATACTGCCTTTCTCTTGGACCCTTTCTTTTTCTCTCAGGCAAAAAATCCTCACACAAGTTCTCCTGACTTTTTGCTCCCCTTTTATTCTGATCCCTTTCTCCTTTTGAACCTCCTTTTCTCCAGTTGCCTCTGCCTCTTCTGGAAAACGAATCAGTTTCTATGGATGAATGGTCTTGACTGTGGGATCTGTTACCACTATCTCTTCCTCTCTGTCTCCATGGTGGAACAGATCCTCTTCCTCGGGGGTGGAAATGGTCTTCACTTTCTCCATGCCTCCAACTCATGATGAAGGTTACTGGAAGAGAAATGGTTTTAATTTTTCTTTCGGGGGTGAGTGAATAAACAAAAAGAAAATACAGACAAAATGAGCAAACACACACACACACACAAAGATATTTTGGTATCTCAACATGTGTTCCAGTTATAGATATGGTCTGAGAATAGTGACAGAGCTAATAATAATTATCCTCCCTTTTTAAAATTTGTAAATAAGTAACGATATTCCATATTAAGCAATTCACTTCTAAGGAAGTAGGGCAGTTCTGTATTGTTATGAGCCTTTTCTTTCAAGTTCTTAGGAATCATTTCCCATTAATGGTATCACCCATCTAAATATTAGTTACTAATGACCATAAAGGTTTTACAGTAATAATGGTGTTTTAAGTATTACTTTACATATATACAGGTACTTTTCTCTCTCGACAGTTTACACTTGTAACGACAATCCTTCCTGCAACAATTAACAATAGTTTTAATATTTGATTGTATTTCATGTTGCAGCCAGCAGCATTTCCAGAATATGGTTGCTCCATTTACTTTTTCTAAATTTTAATAATTTGCATGTTTAGTCCCATACACACATATTAGCTTTGTCTTTAATTTTCTTGATTTTCTTACTGACTGTTGAACATCATGAATGATAAGCATAAATTTTAATGAAGCTTCATGACTGCTACGTCTACATCTTTGATAGTTATTTCATAAACAAGACCTGTCTCTTGATACTGCCCAAAAGTTATTCATTTTGTAGTTGTAATTGTCTTCAACTTTATTTGTGCATAGTAAGGCTGCTGGTGCAGAAAATATATTTACATACTCAACCTTTACAGTTCCAACAAAATAAAACATGTTCTGACTAAATCACAACATAAATGCATTTCAAACTTTTCTACTGTTGTATAAACATGGGAAAAAGTTAAAGCAAAAATGCTAATAAATCAGTGGACCCTGATGCTGAGCTGACCTTGAGGAATATATATATATATATATATATATATATATATATATATATATATATATATATATATATATATAATATTTTTTTTTTTTTTTTTTTTTTTTTTTTTTTTTTTTTTTTAAGGAAATATGATTTCCTTTTGGAGATAAACAAAATTCTGAGCATAATTTTGTTCCAAGACTTCTTAACTACTGAGAAATCAGTTCAAGGATAGAGCACGCAACATTAATAGAATTCCCATGATCATTGCAATAAAAAAAAAAAAAAGTAGCTAACATAATTGCAAGATATGAAAACTATTTGTCTTGTTTCCTGTGTCCTCTGATCAAAAGGATAACTGACCTACAAAAACATAACCACAGTGGGACACTGGTACCATTACAAACTTCAAAATAAACATGATATTTTTAATTTCCGATCGCATGTTTACATGATCAAATCTGCAGATGACAAAACAATAATTGATCTCTTTCCTAAGGGAGACAACACTTAATGACCTCATCAAGATTGATATAATAAAAGGAATCCATTAGAATAATGATCTTGGTTGGCTGTGTTAAGATGACCACATGCCACTGGTCGGTACCCAAGAAATCCAACAAGCAAGCATGACATAAAATGTGAGTGTGTGCATATGTGTGTGTGTGTGTGTGTGTGTGTGTGTGTGTGTGTGTGTGTGTGTGTGTGTGTGTGTGTGTGTGTGTGTTCATATATGTGTGTGTGTGTGCATATGTGTGTATGTGTGTGTGTGTGCGTGTGTGTGTGTGTGTGTGTGTGTGTGTGTGTGTGGTGTGTGTGTCTGTGTGTGTGTGTGTGTGTGTGTGTGTGTGTGTGTGTGTGTGTGTGCATGTATGTGTGTGTGTGCATGTATGTGTGTGCTTGCATGTATGTGTGTGCTTGCATGTATGTGGCATGTATGTGTGCATGTGTGTGTGTGTGTGTGTGTGTGTGTGTGTGTGTGTGTGTGTGGTGTATGGTGTGTGTGTGAGTGTGGGTGTATGTGCAAGTGTATTGTGCGTGTGTGGATGTGTTATGCATGTGTGTGGATGTGCTGTGCATCTGTATGTATTATGCATATGTGTGTGTTGTGCGTGTGTGGGAGTGTGTGTTGTGTATATGTGGGTGGTTGTGTGTTGTGGGTGTGGGTGTGGGTGTATGTGTGGGTGTATGTGTGGGTGTAGGTGGTGTAGGTGTGAGTTTAGGTGTGGGTGTGGGTTTAGGTGTGGTGTGGGTGTGGGTGTATGTGTGGTGTAGGTGTGGGTATGGGTGTATGTGTGAGTGTGTGGGTGTGGGTGTGCATGGGTGTATCTGTGTGTATGTGGGTGTATGTGTGGGTGGGTGTATGTGTGTGTGGGTGTATGTATGTGGGTATATGTGGGTGTATGTGTGTGGGTGTGAGTGTATGTGTGTGGGTGTGAGTGTGTGAGTGTAATGTATGTGTGTGAGTGTATGTATGTGTGTGAGTGTATGCATGTGCGTGAGTGTATGTGTGTGTGAGTGTATGTGTGTGAGATGTATGTATGTGTGTGAGTGTATGTATGTGTGAGTGTATGTATGTGTGTGAGTGTATGTGTGAGTGTGATTGTATGTATATGTGTGAGTGTATGTGTGTGTGTGTGTGTGTGTGTGTGTGTGTGTGTGAGTGTATGTGTGAGTGTATGTGTGTGGGTGTATGTGTGTGGGTGTATGTGTATGGGTGGCTGTATGTGTGTGTGTGGCTGAATGTGTGTGTGTGGCTGAATGTGTGTGTGTGGCTGGTATGTGTGTGGGGGGGAGTGTATGTGTGTGGGGGGGAGTGTATGTGTGTGGGGGTGTATGTAATGTGGTGTATGTATGTGTGTGAGTGTATGTATGTGTGTGTGAGTGTATGTATGTGTGTGAGTGTATGTATGTGTGCGAGTGTATGTATGTGTGAGTGTATGTATGTGAGTGCATGTGTGTGGGTGTATGTGTACATGGGTGTATGTGTGTGTGAGGGTGCATGTGTGAGTGGGTGTATGTGTGTGTGTGGGTGTATGTGTGGGTGTATGCGTGTGGGGTATGGGTGTATGTGGGTGTGGGTGTATGTGTGTGGTGGGTGTGGGTGTGTGTGTGTATGCGTGTGGGTGGGTGTGGGTGTATGTGTGTGGGGGTGTGTGTGGGTGGGTATGGATGTATGTGGGTGTGGGTGTGGGTGTGTGTGGGTGGGTGTGGCTGTATGCGTGTGGATGGGTGTGGGTGGGTATGGTGTATGTGGGTGTGGGTGTATGTGTGTGGGTGGGTGTGGGTGTGTGTGTGTGATGCGTGTGGGTGGGTGTGGGTGTATGTGTGTGTGGGTGTGTGTGTGGGTGGTAGGATGTATGTGGGTGTGGGTGTGGTGTGTGTGGGTGGGTGTGGCTGTATGCGTGTGGATGGGTGGGTGTATGTGTGAGTGTATGTGGGTGTGGCGTGTATGTGTTGTGATGGTGTATGTGGGTGTGATGGTGTATGTGGGTGTGAGGGTGTATGTGCGTGTGGGTGTATGTGGGTGTGAGGGTGTATGTGC